TATATAAAAACATTCTACACACTGTATATTTGGATGTGTATCGTAAGAAAAAGAAAAGGAGGGCATTATTGATCATTAAAGGTATGGTGTATAAGAAGCAATGGAAAGTTTAATTTCTCCATGCGTGTTATCAAGAAATATCTACGTTTTCGTTGTTAATTAATATTGTCTTAAATATCTACATTTGTACTATACTCGAAATATGACACAAGAAAGTAAAAAATTGAAACCTATATAGATATATAAAGAAATAAAGTTCGAAGCAGTGAATATTGCTTACTTACAAGTTACAAGGTGGGTCGGATTTGTAAAAACCGGTTAATGGGAGAAAGAACAGAGAAAAGACAAAAGGGTTTACTCGTGTCACTGCCTTGCATGTCAAGTACAACTACGATTTAAAGATTTTAATCATTAAACGGTTTATTTGCTGTTGATTTAATAATTACAAAAACAAAAATTAAAGGACTTGAGGAAAGAGAAAGATCGCATTTATGTGGAACCAAGTCAAAAATTGCAATTTGACTACAAAATGTAGCTTAATGGCATATTGATTATAAGAGTTAATTACCCACACATATTAAACTTGAGATATCTGTCGAGTAATTCTCATTACTATAATTGCATTAGTTTAACGGTTGGTCTTTGATGATAATTTTAACTTGTTATATCTTATTGTACGGAATCAAGCCGACTACGGAAACTGTTGCGATTTTTTTTGTTATGAAACTTTTCATGCTCAAATAAATTTTTTTTTTTTAAAGTCTGATACTTTTATTAATAACGAACAGAGTAGCAACAAAACCATAACAACAGCCAAAAGCTAACACTAAGCATCAAACATCTAAGAAAAGAGTTTAAAGATGCTCAAATAAATTAAGAGTGTGGATAAATTTGTTGGTAAGTAATAATTTCCTGTGATAAATTCGTATAACAACATGGAAGCTTCTTTAATCTATTGGTTAATGAATTTATTCATGCTTCTACACAAAAAAATTTAGGGTTTGAATTTTGGAGATCGCAATTTATTATTAATTTACAGATTAATGAAAATAAATTTACCGAAAATTTTCAACATGGAGATCTATTTAATGTGTATGCAGATAAAAAATTTATCCATTGTAGAATTGTTTATGTAATAGTTCTCATAAATTTGTAGTAAAATAATAAATCAGTGTTTAAAAAAAATGGTATAAAAATCGTGTTGCGTTATGGAAGTCTCCAGATCCGATCAACTTGAAAAAAAGAAACTAGAAACTAGAATTGTTCGATTTTGTCCTTGGTTGTGTCCATATATACGATCTCAAACCCCATAGGAGCATGAGATCCCCAAAACAGTAACACACTCTGAGTTTTTCTCGATAACCAATCACCTGATGCCAGTCGAGCTTTCGTCCCATGACTAAGCTTCCACGTGTCTCCGTATAATGTAGGTCCCACAGTTCGAACCTGTATTGGACCCATCGATGGTTCCCGCCATCGGATGGTAAAGGAAAGAAGAAGGTCCTCGCATCACAGAGCTGAGCTGTACTGCATATTGTAAAAAAAATGGGTCCCACATAGTGTCACGTCATCACGTGAACACAGTTCGCCGACTCCACTGGGATTTCTCCTCCCTCCCTCAAATATTACACCTTTTTCGTTTTTTTTTGGTCGACATTTCCTTTTTCGTTAATTCATTCTTTCTTTTTTTAGATTATTTTTTCTGGCAGCCATTTTATTAAAAAAAAACTTTACTTAATAAATTATATGACAATAACGAGATCTTTGCAGAAACAAAAATTTATCATCGAAGATATATATAACACCAATTTTTAAAAGTATACGACCTTTTTTCGTTATAAAACACGACAATATTAGTGCCAGTTTTTTTTTTTTGGGATAATGAATATAGTGGCAATTTTTACTGTTAAAAACTAGTATGGATTGATTATCAAACCTTTTACCTTGCAATTTCTTATGATCGCTTTTTTGTTTTATGATATCTTAAGATCAATTGAAAATTTTACATGCCATAACAAAAATAAGATATTTTTGTACTGTTAGAAAATAAAATGTTTTGCCTGAATCTTAGGAGAAAAATCTAATATTAGTATTAAGTAATAATAATAGTATTATAATAACCCGAAAGCAAAAAAAAAAATATCAACACTAGTAAATAAGAAACAAATTTTAAATAACTCATTAGTCATGACCAATTAATTTTGAATTAGAAATTTGTGATTTTTCTCATACTTTCGAACCAGTTTCAAATAATTATTATTTCTTGGCATGTCCATTTCTATTGTAGCTAGATCACAGACGTTAACCAACAAATCACACGTTTTGTTATCATTACTGCAAGAATACGTTCACATAACAATTTGGCTAATTTGAACACATCTACAATGTACTTAAAAAAAATGTCGTATAAAATTTTATTTTTGTGAACTTAGCTTGTTACATACAGTTGTGAATAACGTTGGCCTATAGGTTCAAATCAGACGGAGACAATTGGTATGTGTAAGGCACCGACTTCTTTCTCATAAGTCCATTTCATTTACGCTTGTAATATTTCATTTTAGACTTTATAAGAGTCGGACAAATTCGTCACTTTTCATTTGATCATACATGTATTCATCTATATACAATATGTATAGTGTTATAAATATCAAAGTTAATATATTTTGTCATATTGAAAGTCTCCAATCCTTTATCAAGCAAAAAAAAAAAGGTTCCCAAATCCTTTCGGATGAGTAATAAGAACCACATTCATACTACCATAGTACTCGTCTAATGATGCAAAATATACGATAAAAATAAGATTATTTCGTTCGTGCTTTGGCTATTTGGAATATATAAATCTTGAATAAATAAAGAAGAAACTACTAGAGCGATATCCTAAAGATTGCTACGTAACAATTTGGGCTACGTCGATCTTAGGTTATGTTACTAAAAATTGCAATTCCCTTCTACAATTGGATAATTCCTTGTATGGAATTTTTTTGTCACGAGCAATGCTCTTTATTTTCTTAGATCGTGATACCTAAAATTTAAAAGCTAATGACTAATTTGATAATTTAATTTGGATTGTACTTAATATGTTATCATGTAGAAGAAACTAGAAACGCATCAAATCAAGAAATTAAATTAGTAACTAATTTTTGATGCCTCCTTTCAAATTATCTCCCTAGAGGCTAGAAGACGCGTATTTCTTTCGAATTCTCCAAACCAATTACACTACTATTTTGATATATAATGCCGTTGTTCAATTTGTATTATAATCGTTCTTTAAGTACCTAAAACATGTTTCACAAAAAAAAAAAGTAACTGAAACATTTACCATTCATTTTTTGCTTGCAGTTAACTGGTCCGAAAATATTTGTCCCCACTGCAAATTAATCATGATATCAAGAAATTTAAGTGCTACTATTCCTTTCAAGCGAGATTACTTCGCTCCAATGGATTAGAGAAGTGATAACTCTCTGCAAAGCCGCTTTTTATTTAACTGATATTATTTTTTATTTGAAAATCAAATTCAGTAGAAAAGCCCGTTCTGCGAGGAAACCCGCTAACATATTGGGGTTCCTAGGAATGCAAGTAAAATAGATAGAAGAGAGAACTCATTAGAGTTTAATATCGCATAAGATGCTGTAAATTTCCGAGTGGTAAACTGATATCTGAGATAATATATGTGTAGGTTCATCTAATAGTATTTGATATACGTTTTGTTCTATCAAGTTTTTAAGTACGATAACCGTAATTGATACTTTAAACATTCCATAAATATTAATTAATCTTTTGTAAATATATTTAAATATTAATAAAAAAAACTAAATAGTTTTGTCAATAGCTGAATTTTATAGATTTATTTGTGATATTGTTGTAAGGATCTAGTTTTGTTTCATATTTAGTATCTGAATCGTGGTATCGTTATTCAAACTGATAACTCCCACGTGACAGGATAATAACAAGGCAACGAGATGGAGATCAAATATATAATGATAATAAATATATAATACCCTATGTAAAATGAAGGCAAGCTAAAAAGGTGAAAGGTATTAGTATTTAAATATAAGATTTCCCATCTGCTGTTGAAGATGATAAAGAAAGATCTCAAATTTTTGTTTTTATCAACCGAGATAGAGAGAAATATGTTTCAATAACTAATTTAGAACTTAGGTCCGACTCGGTTTTGTGGATCTCGATATTACAATCTTCATCGATGTCGACGATTTGTGTGTTAAAAAACTTCGCAAGTCAAATGAAGATTGATGCATTTGTCTTATGTTTATTGGTCGTCTATTGTCAATTTGTTACTATGTAATCTGTGACAATCCATGTTGAAACCAAAGGAGCATGTGGTTTCAACTTACTACTTACAAGAATTACAGCTCCAAGAGGGACAACATATTAAAGAAATACATTACATATTATTAGAAAAATATTTTAAAGAAAACTGAACTTTACACATAAATGTTTTTGGGGGAATACGTTTCCGGTTTCCCTAATATAGGTTTATTAAATCAAATATTGGACCCTTTTATATAATCTAAATAAAATAAATACGTACTCAAAATGGCTGTACATTAAATTTATTAGTAAACTACGGATCCTTGTAGTTGTATATATGGCTAATTAGTAATTACACTGCTCATTACCTTGAGAACCAAGGCAGAAGCCAGCATATCAACATGAATAAACTAAATCGCGATTTCTAGTACCCTTGATGATTAAATTTCCAAATATTAAAATTCATCCCTGTAACAAACCAAAAAGAACTTGAAAAAAAAAATGGTCAATATCCTTTATAAATGAGAATCGACAAGATCTACATTTAGAATTATCCAGCTTATTCGCCTGAGAGACCAAAATTGTGTTTAGAAAGCAATCATCATCTCCTTACGTTTGGGCGAAAAAAATATATAATAATATAAATATCAAATATATATTCTCAACTTTGTCTTTATTTAATTACTCAACATCTATGTCTATATATACCCACCTCTCTCTTAAGTATTTGTGTGTGTTTTGTTCCATATATCTTCTTCTTCTTCTTCTTCTTCTTCTTCTTCTTCTTCTTCCTTGTCTTTCAAAGTTCAAAATTTTTTCATCTTCCAAGACATTTCTTTAAAAGTGAAGTATCACATATAAAATTTGATAATCGATTAATATGGCTGAATTTTGGCTCATGATCGTACCAAGTCTCATCTTCTGCTTGGTTTTGGTAAAAGTGGTGGTTTCAAAGAAGAATAAGAGAAATAAGAAGAGGAACAGTAGATGTAAGCTTCCTCCTGGTTCAATGGGATGGCCTTACTTAGGAGAGACTCTACAACTTTATTCACAAGACCCCAATGTTTTCTTCACTTCCAAGCAAAAGCGGTAAGCTAAAAAACTTGTCATTCAAGTTGTCTTTTGTTGGTTATATATGATCTTAGCTTAAAATGTTTTACCTTTTGATGTGTAGATATGGAGAAATATTCAAAACTCGAATCCTCGGCTATCCTTGCGTGATGCTGGCTAGCCCCGAGGCAGCGAGGTTTGTGTTGGTGACTCACGCTCATCTGTTCAAACCAACGTATCCGAGAAGCAAAGAGAAGCTAATTGGACCCTCTGCCTTATTTTTCCACCAAGGAGATTATCATGTCTATATAAGGAAACTTGTTCAATCCTCTTTATACCCTGAAACCATCCGTAAACTCATCCCAGATATTGAACACATTGCCCTCTCTACGTTACGATCTTGGACCAATATGCGTATTATATCGACATACCAAGAGATGAAGAAGGTATACATATATGTTCATATGTATACAAGAAAAATATACGCACACACGCAAACAATGCAATTCCTTTATTTGCTTTAATTATCTCGTCGATATATATATCCTAATAAGCAAAGTTATATTTTCTCGAGCAGTTCGCTTTTGATGTGGGTATTCTAGCCATATTTGGCCATTTGGAATGTTCTTACAAGGAGATCTTGAAACATAACTACAATATTGTGGACAAAGGCTACAACTCTTTCCCAATGAGTCTCCCATCTTATCACAAAGCTCTCATGGTACGTATAATCTGATCTGTTTAATGAATATGAATCAATTAATCTCGGGACCTTAAGAAACTTTGGCAATCTGACTACAACTTTTTTTGTTTTTTTTTTTAAAAAAGGCGAGGAAGCGGCTTAAGACAATAGTAAGCGAGATCGTACGCGAAAGAAGAGAGAAAAGGGTCTTTGAAATAGACTTTCTTGGTCATCTACTCAACTTCAAGGACGATAAGGGTCGTGTGCTAACCCAAGAACAGATTACGGACAACATCATCGGAGTCCTTTTCGCTGCACAAGACACGACAGCTAGTTGCCTAACTTGGATTCTTAAGTACTTACATGATGATCAGAAGCTTCTAGAAGCTGTTAAGGTTTGATCACATGTATAAAATATTTTTCTCTCTTTTATGTATATATATATATATATAAGTATATATATATTTATAAATGTTTAAGTAAATCTATGTATATTTATGATGGTTGCAGGATGAGCAAATGGCTATATATGAAGAGAACAGTAAAGAAAATAAGCCTATAACATGGGGACAAACGAGGAATATGCCACTAACTCATAGGGTAATAATTAATAATATCAGTTCAAATTTTTTTTAATAATATTAGATTATAGGGTGGATTTATATATATGAATTACCACTGATGTGGGAGCTATGTTATAACGTTATGTGAAATAGGTTATAGTTGAGAGCTTGAGGATGGCAAGCATCATATCCTTCACATTTAGAGAAGCAGTGGTTGATGTTGAATATAAGGGTACTAATTAAATCATTTCACACTACTAGAACTTTCTATCTATTAATGTTTTTCTTTTTTAATTAAAAAATGAGATGTACCAAATTCAAAATGTAGTGGTCCAATCGAATGTAAATCACTAATATTTTTCTGATCCTTGTAACATGCATGTATACAGGATATCTGATACCCAAGGGATGGAAAGTGATGCCTCTCTTTAGGAATATTCATCACAATCCGAAATATTTTTCAAACCCTGATGTTTTCGACCCATCTAGATTCGAGGTAATAATTAATAAACTACATTTTAAAAAATTAGAATATTAATAAAGTATTTATTAGAGAGAGGAATTAACGTGATGGTTGAAACTAATTAAAGGTAAATCCGAAGGCAAATACATTCATGCCCTTTGGAAGTGGAGTGCATGCTTGTCCCGGGAACGAACTCGCCAAGTTACAGATTCTTATCTTTCTGCACCACTTAGTTTCCAATTTCCGGTAAAGTTTTGCTCTTCCGCCTCTCTCCCTATCTACAATAAACAATAAGAACAGTTACAATTAAAATAATCTTGTCAAGAAGTTGAAAGATATAGAGCCAAATAGCAAGAAACTAAATAGGCTTTTATAAGATTAGCTTAGTTCCGATACATGATAAATCTTAGTATAATTGATCATCGTTTAAAATTCTAAAACCATTAAAAAACGTGTCAATATGATCGTACTACTAAAATAAATACTTTGCATAGTGACTCGTATCAACCTTATTAATCACATCACTATCCTAATCAATAACCGATAAAATATTACACATAAACTAAAAAAACATATGCTTCACATGCGATGTACTATGAAGGAACTAATAAATGATATGTTCTTGATATTCAATTGGATTATGCAGATGGGAAGTGGTGGGAGGAGAGAAAGGAATAGAGTACGGTCCATTTCCAATCCCTCAAAATGGTCTTCCCGCTACATTTCGACGGCATTCTCATTAGTTCTTCAACATTTATAGTTTAATATTAATCTTGTCTTAATTAGCCTTAGTTATGCAATAATGAAAATTCGATAAAAATTTGTAAAACCCCTTCTAATTGTTTATGGTAGTCCTTGGGTGGGGTTTAACATATTGCATGCTCTGATAATATGGAGTAAAATGTCTATTCCGGTATTCTAAATTACAGTCGAAACTGGTTAAAAAAAATATTGTGGGGGTAACTAAAACCAAAACCGAAATCAACGAGTGTGACCCACGTGAAGGGAGCAGCACGACCACAAAGCCTGAATGTGAAATTCAAAGAGGTGTGTGTCTATTTTTGAGTGGACTGCGAAAATGACATGGCTACGATAAAACAGAGCATCTTCTAACTTTCATGAGGCCATGCCACGTGTCGTTAAGCGAATTGGCCACCTATAAAGAGAAGTTTTCATTTTAATAAAAAATTATAAAAAGAACAAAAAAATGGGGTCCGTTTTCATCATATCTTGGAGGAATGGTCCTCCCAACATATTATTGACAATGGCCTTTGCATTCCTTTATTTTCAGGCCCTCTCCTCCAAATTATTGCCGAAAATTTCTGTATTTCTCTCTTAAAATCGTTAATTTCGGTCTACCATATTATTTAACTGACGATGTTAATAGCTATTATGGCAACACAACATTTTCTTATTCAACTTATTTCATATAACGGTTTTCAGATAACCTAATTAAGAGTAGTTATAACTTGCAACTCACGTGGAACACCATTAAACTCGTTATAGAATATGGAGTAATAGCAAGACAACGTTTAAATTTGGATGAATACGTTAACAAAAAAATAATTGGATGAATTGAGATAACAATATAGCTAGTAGGACTACCAATATTATAAATTAAAGTTATTCAGAATTATAATTCTTATTTTAAAATCTATAAATCACATCACTTACAAACCACACGTCAAAATTGTTTAGGTGATGAGCTAACGATCTTACTATAAGCTAGACTTATAATTCTTGTTTTTGTAACTGGTACTGTCATTTTGTTGGTTGGTCGAAATATTTAACTGGTACTGTCTAAATATATACCCCCTTCTCCTCGATTTAAGCTATTGAACATTTGTTATCTAATTTCATGTGTTAAAATAAAACCATACAAATCAAATAAACAGTTTTTTTTTTGTTTTGTCGTCCAATAAACAGTTGTTTAACTTATCTTTAGTTACCGATGGTTTCTGTCTATTAGTCTATATGTTAAATAATTTTTCGACTTAACAAATATAAAACATTTAGCAGTTCTTTTTAATCAAAATCATTTGAAATTGCAAACGCAAATACAAAAGATATATTTGAAAGAAAAACAATGCGTTTGCGTTTTGTGTTCGTTGTATTTTTATATAGTAAATAACAAATTTAACTACGTAAAGATAACACTAATGTAAACCACAAAATATATCTATTGAAAACAATAGACCCTAATCAGGGTTTATTATCCTAACTTGAACAGTTAGTGAAATATATAATCTTATAGCAACATAGACTAGAAATAGCGATAAACTCTGCGACACCTTTTCCCCGGAGAACTTGTACCAAATATATAGATGATATTTGAAAACTCTTCTTAGTTCCAAAATAAAGCCTTACAAGGAATAATCATCAAAGGAAGTGACCATCAAAACTCACAAGTGATCATCATCACTTAAATTGGAACCACAAGGTTTATAAAAAAAAAAAAGTAGTATCAACATTGATCATATAAAGGAGGGCTCCTTTATCTATTTATTTATTATTAGTTACGATTAATAAATAATAATATATAATATTTGGGGTGTATATTAACATGGGAGTGTTGAGTGTTGTACCAATGAAAATGTAAAGTTAGGGGGGACCTAATTTACGAACTGAATTCCTTTTCGGGTTTTAGTCTATTTTATAGCCATATTTGTTTGGTGCTTCTACTCATGCAACCAAACATTGCCATTTTCAATTATTCCTATTTTATTTACTTTCAATTTGCTTTTGAAAAGAAATGAATAATTTTTATTTCTTGTAGTAGTTTATACATTTCGTTCTTTTGTTTTTTTTTGTGCCGGAAATTTAAATAGTTGTTGTCCCTTTGAATGTGTGGTAGGTAAATTTTTAATTCACTTATAGAATATTATATGCATGCATGTATAATGTAAGGAAAGTGACAACTAATATTTTGCTAGCCATATATTGATTTCTACTTTCGGATAAGTAATAACAAATAAGAATAACTAAACTTAAAAAAAAAACTAAAAACAATGGCAAAACAGTTCCTTGCAAGTTATAAATGTGATATTTTTATCGACTTATATATTAATTATTTATTACAAGAAAATTGTTTTTTTTAACAGCATCGTAACGTTGACATGTACGTATAAATCCGGATGTTTTGATGTAAAAACCGATCAACGTGAACGCAATTTAAAAGTAAACTAGGTACTCAGGGCCGGATCTGAGAATTTGGGGGCTAGAAACAATTTAAGAACAAATATTTTTTTTTGTGATTTAGGGGCTTAAAAATTCGTAAATAATTAAAGAAAAATTTTAGGGGCTGTAGGCGGATGTTTCATCAGGCTGTCTCCAGATCCGGCCCTGTAGATGCTTTCGGACGATTTGGTGTTTAAGCTTGGTTGAGTGACTCGAGTCATGAGTAATTATGCAAAGTGAAGTTACGAGAAACGTATTGTTCTGATATTTGGTGCTAACTGCTAACTATTCAGGTATATGGTGTTAAAGTAAAAAAAAAAAAAAAGATTCGTCTTTAATGAAAAAATAAAATAAAACTAAAGTATTAAGATTGGTTAGGCCTCTCAGATGGGTTCATGGGCTTACATATTTACATATTATATCTGTATGAATGGGCGGATCAAAATATAATTGATTCATTATTCATTGGGCTTTAGCCTAACTCCATAAGCACACTTTATATTTGGTCCTGGAATACGAGTAAGAAGAGAGATTATGACTTTCTTTTTGTTTTTGTTTTTGGTCAATGTGATTAAGGATGACTAGATGAATTTGAGTTCATATGTAAACGTCACTAGATTATTAATACATGGACGAGTTGGCAGAAAGAAAAGTCTATGGTTAGAAATATACAAATATCTAAACATTATTAATAATGAGATAACAAGTCTTTTTTTTTCTTCTTCTACTCTTTTTTTGTTGTCACAAACAAGTCAAACTTACGAAAAAAAGTTTGGCCAGTTTTTTATTTTTTCCCATTCAAAGAAAGTGTCCAAGTGTTGAAAGCATGAGTTTCTAAATGCCGTGGATGGATGATCATCATAAAAACTAGAAGAATACTAGAAATATCGACTAGTATTTAGTAGAAATTTTATCATGCATATTATATGACTGATACGTCAGGTAGATACATGCTTTTAAATCTAAACATGACATCTAATTTCAGGTATAAATATATGGTAATTTGATTTGAGATATTTGGATACAAATGGCTATATTTCCTTTTTTCGGAGTAAATGTCACGCATAAATTAACGTCAAAATAGTTTCATTGAAAACTAGACGAATGGGACAAAAAAAATCGCTGTCAATGTCTTTAGGTTAGGAGGAAAAATTGTGAGATGAGAACTAGAGCAATAGACAACGAGAAAAACCATACCACTTGCACTGTTAAAAAAATGCTAAATTATCAAAATCAGAAGTGGAAGCTAAAGTGGACATGATTATTGCTCACACTTGATCATCATCATGCGGCTGCTTTGGTTTAAAGCTAATCTAACCTTCTAAAGCATCCTTATCGTGAACTCCAAGTGTTATCATGGTACTTAATCACCATTTTTTTTAATGCACTTAATTACCCTTTTTATGTTTGGACTAATGAACTAAATCAAATTTTAATGTTAGAAAAAAAAAAAGCCCTAATCATGTACTGTATTTCTCAAGTGTGAACTGTCACATCCCTTATTAAGCAGGTATGAACATTTATTGAAACTTTAACAAAAATGAATATTTTTTGGAATATGTAATGGTTAGTAAGAAAACGGAAATCATCTATCGTCACGAATCGCGCGTGTTTCAAAAAAAAAAGAAGACTTCAAATATTTTAGAAGATAAATTAAATTAATATTATGTATAGTTATGGGGACCCTATAGTTATGAGTTATGACTTGTTCTATTGATAAATAATAACTAAAAAAAGAGATGAAGAATTAATAATAATAAAAAAAAAAAGAAGAAGGTCGCGAGATCCCAATTCCCCAAGCTTTGCAATTTCCAAACTTTCGCTCAGTTTCAGGGAACCCGGAGAATCTCTTCCGTGACCGGAATTTTCTGATCGATTTTCTCCTTCCGATTCCGCAATTCCGGCGACTTTCCGGCGGCTTTCCGGCGGAGTGGTGTTCTTTGATCTACGGGAAGATTGATTCTTCTGTTTGGATGATTTCTCTGTGAAACAACACGAGGTCTCTTCTTCGGCGGAATTTTTTCTTATATTTTTTTCCTTTGGAGTCCTCGACAATGGAATCGGTATCGTCACGCGGCGGAGACGCCGGCGTAAGGAATCTTGAACCGTCGATTGCGGCATGGCATTTCCAGATTGCTGTCTATTTCGCCTTCGGATTCTTCTTTTTGAGGCTCTTCCTCGATAGATTCGTCTTTCAAGTAAGTAAGAATCTCCGTTTTTGTTTTTTTTTTCTTGTTTTGTTCTCTTTCTCTTGAATGCAAAAGCTTTTATTATCTTCTATATATGTGATGATGATGTATGCGTGTTGACAGTTGAAATTCCTTGACTCCGAATATATAAGCAGAATTCTAATGGACAACATGCCCTTTTTATATGTTTTCTTGGTCACTTGAATACAAACTTGGATATATATATATATATATATAAAGAACGATATTCATAAACAATGAGCACATTTGGTTGGTTGAAACATGCGTCTTCAAGAACTAGGAGATTGACTTGATTTAAGGTCCCATTGTTTTGGTCTTTTCAATCTGTTTTTTGCAGAGGATAGCTGTCTGGCTTTTGAGTACTGGTTCTTCCCCAATCAAAATGAATGATGCTACTCGGGGAAAAATCGTCAAATGCAAAGAGTCCTTGTGGAAGTTGCTGTACTATGCTGGTTGTGACATATTCGTTCTCAAAGTCGTTTTTCACGAGCCATGGGCCAGAGATATAAAACTCTACTTTGATGGTTGGCCAAATCAAGAGTTGAAGTGAGTTAATCAATTCCACATTTCATTTTTTCTTCTTACTCATTTTGCTATTTGCTTTGAATTTCTTGGTTTAGAATTCGTCACTGGTTATGGCATTCATGACTTTCGACATGCTGGATTAGACGTTTAATTCATGGCAGAGTTCCTTGGACATGCTATACGTTATATGATGGAAAAGCGAATAACCTAATTTATACGTTTATTTTGCAGGCTTCCAATAAAGCTTTATTATATGTGCCAGTGCGGGTTCTATGTGTATGGTGTTGCTGCGTTGCTTGCATGGGAAACCAGAAGAAAGGATTTTGCTGTTATGATGTCTCACCATGTGATTACGATCATCCTGATAGGCTACTCGTACGTAACGAGGTAATTTGACCTTGATTCATCTATTTGCATATGGATACTAATCTGAAATAGCTCAAAATATATGCTTTAGTAGAACCTTGATTTTGAACTGATTTGCTAAGCTACAAGTCCATTGATGATAAATTCAAATTCTTTACCGAGAGTTGTTATGTGTGACAAGGTTGGACTTTTGACTGGGAGATTAAATATATAGTGAATTATAGAGCAAGCAATCAATAGCTTACTAAAAAAGGCTATAGGGAAACTGATTTTGTTTGTTTCTTCTGCAGTTTTTTCCGTATTGGAGCAATCATCCTAGCCCTTCATGATGCAAGTGACGTGTTTATGGAAACTGCTAAAATTTTCAAGTATTCTGAAAAAGAATTTGGAGCAAGTGTGTGTTTTGCACTTTTTGCTCTCTCTTGGCTATTGCTACGGTTGATTTACTTCCCATTTTGGATCATCAGGGCCACGAGGTTCACAAAACTTTATTTTAACTCTTATTAGGTATAATATTATTACTCGTTGTTAATGCTTTATCTGACGATCACACTCTTTTTTGTTTTTGGGGTTAAAGCATTGAACTCCTGGATTATTTGGATATGACGTCAGCTGAAGGCACGATCATGTACTATTCCTTCAACACAATGTTACTGATGCTTCTTGTTTTCCACATATATTGGTGGTATCTCATTTGCGCCATGATCGTAAGACTACTTAAAAACAGAGGAAAAGTGGGAGAGGACATAAGATCCGGTAAGGCTTTTTTTTTAACTCGGTTTTGATTCTTTTGAATAGAACTGTTGTTGTATGTTATGTTATTGTAATTTATTTTCGTTTTTTCTTGGCAATGGCAGATTCAGAGGATGAAGATTAGGCTTGCAAGCATGACAGATACGGGAACATGTTTCCACTTCTCCAACCAAACCCTTTAGCTGGCTGAAGAATTTGTTCTCAGCTTCATTACCTTACTGATTAGAGTTGGAGGTTAAAAAAAAAGGAAGAAAGGTTATACTTTTCATTTTTTTTTTTCAGTTTTGTATTGGTCGAGTCCATTTCGACATTAGACTGCATATTCTATTTGACAAATACAAGAAAGAAAACAGACACTCGGGTTTCATGTGTTGTTATGTGCTGTATAAAACAATGTGGAATTCTCTCTGTAAATGCAATTCATCTTTGTATTGGTTTTCTATGATAGCCGTTTTTTTATGGAGCTTATTGTAGAAATGATATGTTTTGTGGGTTACGTAGAGTCATTCTTGGGAAAGCCGTATTTGCACGTCTCATTGAGGTTTTGAGTACAACCTTATCTATACATCAAGCGACCACACAACAATTGATCCATCTCCTGTAGTTGCAAAGCACTATAAATGTGACCCTGTAGAAAATTGACGTCCTTGAGACCATTCCAAGATGGGCATTATACCTTTTCTGTGCCTCAATGTCCCATTGACACAGCCTATTGTCATTGTGATCTAAAAAATGTAGATTCTGATGGATCTAGCTGCGACCCTTGCATCATTTGCTATGTCTCAATGTGATTTCAGTCCCGTCTTTCTCCGATTTCCATTATGTTCCTTCTATATATCGACCTGGTTAACATCACTTGAGTATTGTTTTCTTTGTTTAGCCGTAAACATCAGCATCATATTTGTGTCTGCCCTAAAAAAAAAAAAAAGCCTCTTTGGTGCCGAGCCGTGATCACGTTATAATATAAGAAACATAGGCCTAGGATCTCAATTTTTTTTAGAAAAACTTAGGAACCTTTTCTTTGCAAAATTTTTATATACATATTTTCTTTTATTTTTTAATTTATTTTTATTAGGCTCAATATTATTGCTTAACGTCTATTCAATTGAAAATAAGAATAAAGAGAATCTTCTTGAAGTCTTGAAGATAATTGAAAGAAATAATAGTAAATATAACAAAATAAAACATTATAATACTAGAATAAACAGTTTCTTAAATTTATTCTTGTTGTAGTTTTTCTTTTTTTAACATTCACCAAATTCATTAATTTTGATATTTGTATTTCTTGTCTTTTGCTTGATTTTATTTCATTTTTAATCATTTCTATTAAGATTTTGTCCTAAATTACAAGCACAAATATTATAAAATTATGTTTAAACTTGTAGGTACCACCTAACAACATAAGAAACTAAAAATTTTTAAGTTTTTAAAAAGTTATTGTTTGTAATTTTTAATTTATTTTGTTAAATAAAATTATTAGTTTTAAAGACACATTTTTGTTTCTTTATATCTACTGTAATGGACATTTATATATTTGGAATATTTTATTTTTATTGATATGTTTTTAATATTTTGCATAATTTGTGCAATCTAACAAATTTTCATCACTAGAACTTGGAGGTATGCTACGAATACTAAAATAGTTTTTTTTTTAATATGATGCACAATCTCACCATCGTCCAAAGACTTGGAGGTCTGGGTACGAATATTAAAGGCAGGAAAGTTTGGAATCAACTACAGGAGAAGTTTCCCAATGCACACTCAATCAAGTAAATGGAAGGTTGTTTAGGGAGACTAGGGCTTATCTTTTGGCTTATGTTCCTACTTCTGAGCATCCACTTCTGCCAAACAGCCTCCTTCTACTTCCGCCGAGTAGCCTACTTCCACTTCCGTCGAGTAGCCTGAGCAGCTTGAACAACATTCCATTTAAGGGTATTATCACAAAAGCTTTTCACTGTTACGTTTAAAAAAATCTAAAATATTTCGTGAGACTTATTATATTTTAAAACAACTTAATCTTGGTTTTCTTTTGAGTGTAAAATTTAATGTGAAGGTATTCCTGTTAATGCTTATTTTACTATTTTTCTTAATGATTTACTATCGTCCAAGTTTAAATTTGGCATAATGTATGTTGATCAGAATTTAGGGTTTGAACTACGGAACACCAAACGATGCTTTTTTTTTTTTTTATGAGGGCAGAGACAAATATGATGCTGAAGTCTACCGCTAAACAAAAAAAAACAATACTCAAGTGATGTTAACCAGGTCGATATATAGGAGCAGAATGGAAATCAGAGAAAGACGGGACTGAAATCACAATTAATGAGACATAGCAAATGATGCAAGGGTCGCAATGGTCGTAATCAGATCACAATTATAGAAGATGCACGAAACTCATATATCTTTTGATGATATTTTCTTAAAGTATACTACATTTTTTTCTCTCTCTAAGAGATTTCGAAAGGAGAGTCAAAAACATTATAGTATGAAAAACAAAGACATACACTGACCAAAAATAAAAGACATACACTGACCAAAAATAAAAGACATACAAAAAAACAAAGAAAACCAGGAAAAGACGTCGTCTTAGATCACATTCCCATCAGATTGTCAACTGCGTACAGCCAAGGACCGTTCCACGACACTTGGTCATCGAAGCGACCTTCTTCCATGCCAAACGGTCACTCCCAACCGTCAAAACGTCGACGTCCGACAACGGCTTGATGTCCCAATTGAGCCTATCAGGTCCAATCACTCCTCCCACGAGCAAAACCTCGTCACTCAAACTCGTCATCGCCATCCCAATCCTCCGCTTAAACTCTGACGCCGACGCAACCATCTTCCACGTGTCATCTTCTTCTAGCTTCAACACCAGTCCATGGCTCATGACATAAGGCACGTCCTCAACAACAGCCATTGGACCTTGAGGCCAACCATACTCTTTCACAGCCCAACCGAGTTTAACGCTCTCAAGAACTTGCACCGTCGATAACCCTTTGTGCAAAACGTGAACTTTGCCTTTGACCACTAAACCCGAGCAAGCCGAGTTATGAGTCCTGTGCAGATCCGGGATCGAAGTCCAGACGTCTTTCTCGGGATCATACATCTCCGCTCCAGATATCGATTTCCGGCAAGTCGTGAATCCACCAGCAACTACAATCTTCCCGTCGAGAACACAGCAAGCGAACATAGCACGAGGCACGAGCATCGGTGCTCGCGGATTCCACCGTCTCTGCACAAAGTCGTAAGACCAGACCTCGTCCGTTGCAAAGGTACCATCGTGATCTCCGGTTAGAGGATCGACGGCGTCGCTGCCTCCACCTAAGACGAAGAGCTTCCCGGAGGTAGTTACGGCTCCGAAATGGGCTAGGTGACGGATTCTTGATGGAAGGAGAGGGAGAGTTAGCCAGCGATCGCAGTTTGGACTGTAGACTTGCCATATGTTCTCAGGATCAAACGCACACACGCAGAGAAGGTTTTCTGATGATCCAACTTCTTTACGGACTTTGAAAAGCTCTTCGCTGCGTATCGCTGCTCGCCATGAACGAGATACGAGCTCTACGTTCGGATGAAGGTCTAATGGAACGTGCGCGAGGCATCTCATAGCAACTGCGTCTGGGATTCCTTCGAGCAGCCCAGACATTTGTGGTTGCTGCGAATCTGATAACACATTGATGATGATCAGATTACGAAAATTGCAAAGAACACAAAACAAAAATATACAAGAATCGGAATTGAATTCTTGAATCTGAATGCCAAAATTGAAAGAATCGACAACGGATTTTGACCTGTAAACTGAGATTTGGGGATCGATTGTGTGGAAACGGTGATGTGAAGTAACGTTTTTCCAAAGGAAGAAATCGTGAAGACCTAGAGGTTGTGTGTAACGAATCTCTGCCAAATAGGCGAACCGATAAAGAATCTGATCGGTTTCTCCTCCGATTCCGTCAATCACTACCAATTCGGAGATTTTCCGGCGTTGTGGTGTTCTTGTTCTACGGGAAGATTGATTCTTGTGTTTGGATGATTTCTCAGTGAAAGAGGTTTCTTCGGCGGATTTTGAGTCCTCGACAATGGAATCGGTATCTGGCGTCAGGAATCTAATACGATCAAGACCTCAAATAGTGGGCCTGGTATGGGCCGGGCTCGTAATTACTTACTTAAGTTTAAGCCTCTTTTGCAATCGTCTTTTTTCTTCAGCTCAGTTGAGTCATCATCTCCTCTGCTCGTAGACAGCGTTGTGGACGATTCCCAGTTTCCACGATTTGAAGTCAGATTCTTCATCGTTGTCAGGTTAGTTTCCTTTTTTTTCAGGGTTTCTTTTGAATTCACGGTTTAGTTTCAGTTCTATCAATTTTTTAGGTGATTTCTATAAATTTCAGTTTCACAGACAGAGTAGAGTATTATATAACTTAAAAAAACTCGACCAAAAGAAAAATATGGTATGAGTTATGTGAAGCCCTTAAGGTTTGAGTTACCCAGAAATCAAAATTTTCTCAAACTCGGTCATTGTCGTGTCTCCATCTTTGGGTCCTTCTTTGTTTTGTTTTCAGAATTTTCTGCTTCCTAAGTTATCATTGCTGCATCTGTATGATACTTATGCTCTCTCACTTGATTGAGTTTTTTTTCGTCATTGTAGCATTAAGGAGTGTATTTGAAATGGCTGGGGGATCAAAGAGCTCTAAAAAAGCAAGACTTTATGACACTGAATCAGAACACATAAGCGACCAAGAACACCTTTTGGTGGAAGGCGAGAATGAAGATTATGAGTTACCTGATGGAATAGAGGATGATGAAGAAGGAGATATCATGGAAGATGATGAGGTAGAGAGTGAGAAAGACGACAAGGGAGATAGTGAGGAAGATAACAATGAAAATGAGGATGGAGAAAGCGATGCATTTGATGATGGAGATGAGGAAGAAAGTGAGAGTGGCGATAATGACAATAAAGATGCTGAGGTCGAAGAGCTTGAGAAACAATACTTGGAGCTGCGATCACAAGAAGAGGATATATAGAAGAACTTAAAGCGTGATAAGTGTGAGGATGAAGCTAAAGGTCAAGCGTTGAAGAACCAGAAGGCTCTTTGGCATAAGACGCTGGAGTTCAGATTTTTACTTCAGAAACCATTTAGTAGCTCAAACAGATTGCCACAGGAGTCTATCAAATCGTCTTTTTGCTCGGAAGATGAGAAGGTCTCAACATCATATACAGATCTAATCGTTTCAGCTAACAAGACATTAGATTCCCTCTTGTAGTTGCAAGAGACTTTGCTTGAGAAGAATCCCTCAGTTGATCAACATACTTTGATGCGTTCTTTATCCAATAAATCAGATGCAGAAGATAGCGATGGATGGCAACGAATATCTGACTTGCAGAAAAGAATGTATGTGTTCCGAAACAAGGCTGTGGACAAATGGCAGAGAAGAACACAAGTTACAACTGGTGCAGCTGCTACTAAAGGAAAGCTTCACGCTTTTAACCAGAACGTTAGTGAACAGGTTGCTTCTTACATGAGGGATCCAAGTAGAATGATTAAACATGTGCAACAATCAAGATCTGCTGTTGCTGTTTTCGGAACTGTCCCTGGGGAAACCATGGGACCAAATCAAGAGGTATTGTCTCTAGCCAAGTCAAGAGTATCAAATCATTCTATCAGTCTTAGTGATTATGTTTATGCCGGTTCTCTAACATGTATACTCTTTTGTTCAGGAAAAACAACTTCAAGGAGACCCTGAACTTGTGGAGGATGCTGAATTCTATCAGCAATTGCTAAAGGAGTTCTTTGAGACCATCGTTCCAGCTTCCTCCGTGGCGGCTTTCTACACGATGAAGCAATTTCAGACAAAGAAGAGAAAAGTTGTGGATAGGCGTGCTTCTAAGAGCCGAAAGATTAGGTATAATGTTCATGAGAAGATTGTCAACTTCATGGCTACACGACCAGCGAAGATTCCCTCAAACACTGCGGATTTGCTGATGAATCTGTTCGGTCTCAAGACCAGAAAGGGCCTGTGTGAAGCATAATATTAACAAACCTCAGTTTTGAAACTCAAGAATAGTTCGACTTATTTTTTTTTAATGTGTTGTGTTGTAATACAAGATTCTTAGTGAAAGACTCAGAAGAATTCATTTTCGTCTATCAAACATCGTTTCTTAGTGGAAAAATAGTATTGGTCCAGGCCATTTCGACATACATATTTTCAATACTTAGATTCATTTGTATGTTATACTTAAATTAAATGTTAACATTAGTTGTTCACAAAATGTATATATTTATAATACGTCATGAAGAAGAATTACGAAATCAAGTCATACCCAATTTGATTCAAACTACATACACAATGCTGTTTCAAGGAGTCATATTTTGAGCAAAGCCAAATGTAATTCAACACAAACCTTCACACGACTAAAAGAAATCAATATTGAAGCTACACAAACCAAATTCCAAAACCAACATGGAAAGTATCAGACACAGATGTGTTCATCACAGTCGTCTTCCAGAGAGGCTAATGGAGCTGACTTTCTGAGGAGTGGCAACCACAAGTGGAGCTTCTGGAGATTTGTTACCGGAGAAGGAGAAGTTATCGTGCATGAATCGGCTCTCCACAATTGACTCATCCTTCAACAAGATTTTGTAGCAGTAACAGCTCTTGAGCCCTTGCTGATTCCTATAGCACTCGTGCGCACTGTTCTTCACCCGCTCCAAGTCCCATATTACACTGAATTTCCCCACAGTTGCTACGATGTGCCTCTCTTGCTTCCCGCTCTCCGTTACCTACAAAATAACATTCACAACAAAGACTATAAGATTTGGCTGTATAACAATCAATCAATCATTGAAAACAATAATGTATGAAGTGAAACTTACCCATGAGAAGTGACCTCCGTGAAACTTATTATCATTTCCTGCCAAGTGTGAGTCTAGTGGCGTTAGCTTCAGCAGCCTCGGCGCTGGTATTTTGTTTCCCATCCTTCCGCTAAAACCTGTTTTTGTCCGACCATCTTTGTCTGTGAAAAGGGTGCATATAAGAACCAAGTATGTATCTGTTGTGCCCAATATCCATTTCCCGTCATAAGAAACGTCCACATGTGTAATCGGCGAACCAAGCCCTGGAAAAGCCGTCTTTGCCTGTCTCATTGAGGTCTTTGAGTACAACCTTATCTTTCCATCAAGCGATCCCACAACGATTGACCCATCTCCTGTAGTTGCAAAGCACTGGAAATTTGTTCCTCTAGAAAACTGATGCCCTTGAGTCCATTCCAAGATGGGTGATTCGATGTTCTGCACAATACCTCTCCTGTCCCTCATGTCCCATTGACAAAGCCTGTTGTCATCTAATCCCAAAAACGTAGACTCTGATGGATCTAGCTGCGACCCTTTTGTATCATTTGTTATATCTCTCATTGAGATTTCAGTCCCGTCTTTCTCGAACTTCCATTCCGTAACAATCTTCCCAGACTCTATGTCGAGCTGCTTAACACCACTCGAGTGTGGTTTCCCTTGTTTAGCTGGACTCATCAGCATCATATTAGTCTCTGCCCTCATCAAAAGAGCCTTGTTTGGTGTTGTTTGGCTCGAACCTGGTCCATATTTCGAGTTTCCAGCATCAAATCTCACGCACACACCTTTCGCATGAATCCCACGCTCCAAATTCCTATAGACCTGGACCCCTAAATCATTCACCAAGAATGAATTATCCATTGCTCCTAAAGCCAAACTGTGCACACCACCATTCGCCACCTCTTCAAATTCTTCCGTCAAATCCGTGTTTTTCTTGGCCCGAGTTTCCTCTTCATCCGGTGGACTTTCAGCATCTTCCCACATAGAATCATCAGCAGCCTCTGGATTAGCCCACCCGAGGAAATCTTTACCATAAACTTTGATCCTGTTCTCCTCTGATGCCTTGACCTTATACACATTCTCAAACAGATAGTCCTGGAACCTAGTGACAAACTTCCTATAATCCTCATCCGTCAAAAACTTCAAAGCCCAAACACCATTACTCACAAAATCAACCCTACGCTGGTCTCCAAACATTTTCAGCTGCATATCCGTCGAAACCCTAGCTTTAACCTTAGAACCAACGCCGAGAAACCAGAAGGACTCACCTCTTTCACCTGATTCTTCACCATCATTATAATCATCAATATCCTCTCCGTCCACCGTCGACGTTTTGGCAAACTTGTATGACGTCAGTTTATCTGTGATGACCCATTTAGCTTTAGGCGTGTTTCCACCGATATGGCGGTAAAGCTTCACCGCGTTTTTCACCTTGGGCGCTACTGGTGAGGGATACTTCAACTTCATGGCTCTCAGCTTCTCCTCGATATCGAGAGAAGAGGAATCAGATGGCCCCGAAGAAGAAGAAGAATCAGATGGTCCTGAGAGGTATGAACCAGAAGCAGACGACGATCCTTGCTTTTTCGAGACATCTGCGTCGTCGTACTGATCCTCATCTTCTTCATAGTACTCGGAATCGGAATCCGTGTCCGATTCGGTGATCCGATCTTCCCGACTCTGAGAAGTACCCATGGTTCGATCAGCTACAAGAAGAAGGAAACGGAGAGGTAGCGAAAACTGAACTTTCCTCTTTTGAATTCTCGCAGACGAAATCAGAAAAGATCGTTAGCGAAATTCCTGGTCAGTATCGAAACAAATTTGGAAATTTTCTCAGGATAGAAAATATAGAAATGATCCGATGATTCTCGAGAAAATACAGTATGAGAGAGAGTTGGGAGCGTTTGCAGGGGAGGAAGTTAGGGATTTGGGAGGAGAATTGGGGATTTTATAGGGTACGAGAATCTGTTGGGAAATTCGTTTAGCGTCCATATAACGTTGGGCTTTGCTTCGACCTGACGCAACGCTTTTCGAACGCGTCGGTGACTGCGTTAGCGTTTTAGATGTATAAATATCATCAGATGTACCATATAATTGATAACAAATGGAATTACTCTGTTTGCCGACCTCAAATATACTCTATAATTATATATGACTATATCTTTCCACTTAAATTTTCTTTTAAAGAGTTGTTTATTCTAAAATACCTTCAAATCCATACTTTTCCAACTATCTCTACCTTCTCCGAATATGCATTATGCACAAAATCTATCTAGTGAAAACTAGGATAAATGAAAATAAAAATAAAAATGATCAAAACAAAATTAAGTCAAAATAAAATGTGACGCGCCAGGTAGGGGTCGAACCTACGGCCTTCTGCTTAGGAAACAGACGCTCTATCCACTGAGCTACAGGCGCTTTCTGAGTAAGGTTGCATTGTTTTTAATTTCATTAAAATAAATGTAATTGGTAAACCTTTATGGGAAACTGAACTTTCACTTGTCATAATTCATAAGATTGCACTAAGTTAGTTTAGTCATAATATGACCAAAAAACTAATGGTTTAGTTCCACAAACATATAGTCAATGTGTCCATCTAATGATACCACTTCTTGTTAATGAAATATCAGTTCAATGGATTATTCAAAGGGCATGAGAACCTATATAAACTAAGAATACACACCAACAAAATAAAAAAGAGAGATTGCATGTAGCTTATTTAATCACTTCTTTTTCTTTTTGCCTACATCCTATCAAAACCTCATTGATGCTAAAATAAGAAAATTAACAAACATCAGATACCTTCAACGGTGTTTTCTCTACCTTCAAGCGCATTCCCTTCAATCTCTAGCTCCATTAAAGACAACAGAAAAAATCTGATCGTTTGTTTCTGCTTCTTCAACAATGCCTCCTTTCTTCTTCCTCTTATTCTGGTTCTCTATTTCTCAAGCTCTCCTTCCTCCTCGGGGTATAATTCTTTAATTATGCATTCGTAATTTAATTATTATTTTTTCCAGAAATATATGTTTAATCGAATCTTGAAAAACAATTTAAAATATGCTCTTGAATCAACGCAATTTTTTTTCATAGAATTAGATTAACTACGCCATTGCATGCTAAATCAACATTTGTTATAGATACCCTAATAAGTCGCCTTTGCATTTCATATGGAAGGTTTCTACTTAAATTGTGGATCATCTTCTTCAACGAAACTCAACGACATAACTTACACACCGGACAAAGGATTCATCTCCGTAGGCAACACGACGACTATAAAGCAAAAAGACCTCCTTCCAATCCTCTCGACGCTACGTTACTTCCCGGACAAGTCATCACGAAAACACTGTTATAATTTCCCTGTCGCCAAGAACTCCAAGTACCTAATCCGAACCACTTACTACTACGGCAACTTCGACGGTAATAACAACCCACCTGTGTTCGATCAGATCGTTGGAGGCACAAAATGGAGCGTTGTGAACACATCCGAGGATTACGCCAAGGGCTTGAGTTCTTATTACGAGATCATTGCTGGTGTTCCTGGGAGAAGGCTAAGTGTTTGTCTAGCCAAGAATGCACACACCCTTTCTTCACCTTTTATATCGGCTTTAGATGTGCAATCTCTTGAAGATAAAATGTATAATTCCACGGACCTTGGATCTTACAAGCTTAGCCTCATTGCAAGGAACAGCTTTGGAGTAGACGGAGAGATGATCAGGTAGCCTTTGATTACATTCCATATTGTTTTATAAAGTGACATTTTCATTTTTATTTTTTAGCTTGACTTGTGATGGTATGTATAGCTATCCAGATGACCAATACAACCGTCTATGGCAACCGTTTTCGGACAAGAAGCATTCGACAGTGACTTCTCGAAGCAGCATTAACCCGTCGGACTTTTGGAACATTCCACCGGCTAAAGCCTTTGTGGAAGGGTTCACGGCGAGTAAAGAGAAGCCTCTAGAGCTTCTATGGCCGCCGTTTCCTCTCCCGGCCACGAAGTACTATGTAGCTCTGTATTTTCAGGATGATAGGAGTCCAAGCCCCTTGAGCTGGAGAGCTTTTGGTGTTTCAATCAATGGAGTTTCCTTTTTAAGAAAACTCAATGTGAGCACCAGTGGGGTTATGGTTTATTCTGGCCAGTGGCCATTGACAGGGCAGACTCAGATCACACTGACTCCTGCCAAGGATTCACCTTTGGGAGCAGTAATTAATGCTGGAGAAGTGTTTCAGGTTCTTCCTCTTCGTGGGATCACTAATATTAGAGATGGTAATGTAAATGTTCCCTTTTGCTTCATGTTTTTGTCTGTTTTGTGATCAATGAAGCCATTGGAAACAACAAAATTCTTCTGCAGCAAGTGCAATGGAAGACCTGTTAGAGAGCATCAAGAAGCCTCCGGTAGATTGGTCCGGTGATCCATGCCTTCCTCTTGCCAACTCGTGGACTGGCCTAACTTGCTCCAAAAATAAAATCAGCAGAGTAATTTCTCTGTAAGTCAAAATTCAGTCCTCTAAGAGAAGCTTCTCTAGGAGACTACCAAGTCTAAATCACGAAGAGACATAATCTAGGATTTTTTTGGTTTTGTTGCTAGAAACCTGACAAATCGTGGACTATCAGGCTCTCTATCACCAAGCATAAACAAGATGACTGCTCTTAAAGATTTGTAAGGACTTTACATCTTAAAAGGTGTTAAGTGTCTTGAGTTTCTTTTTGTAAACTAAGATTAAGCTGCAACTTTTGGGTTTGCAGATGGCTGGGGAAGAACAAGTTCACAGGACCGATCCCAGATTTGAGTCCAATGACGAGATTAGAAACTCTGTATGCCTTCTTGTAACCAAACTTCTAAAATTGTTGTGAAAAATATTTGGACTTACTGTTTTCTTTTGGGGCAGACATTTAGAGGACAATCAGTTCAGTGGAGCGATTCCTGAGTCACTTGCCCTGCTTCCTAATCTCCGCATACTGTAAACCTATTTCCCTCTTCTCTGCTTATAACAGCAAGTCTATCTATGCACACGAATCCGATAACATGACCAAAAGTGTTGACTTTGGTTATAAGGCAAACTAAAATTTTGACCTATAACAGAATGTATCATCATCAAGACTAGCATCAGGGATTATTATCGTTGATGTTAATAGTGAATCTGCAGGTCCCTCAAGAACAACAAGCTTCAAGGTACAATTCCTAGTGCACTCCTCCAGAAAAAGGGCCTAACTATTCAGTAAGTATCATTACCATACTTGAAAAGAAACAGCAGCATTTGTCATAGGCATTTTCATGTCAAAAATTGATCTACTTGTTGTAGGGCGTCTCCTGAGAACATGCCAAGCACGATGAAGACCGGCCAAAATTAGGGTTGCTAACAATTGATCAGATTCAAGTGCTCATTAATGATAAACCAGGGCATCTGTAAACTACAAGGTCATTTTCTTGGCCTCGATGGAGAAAGGGTTCAATCGAGGAAGCATCTGGGCCACACCAGTTCTACTTTTGCAATAGTCTTTCAAATCATGGAACATGTACATTATCTGTTCATTTTATCGAACTACCTCTGGACCTCTACAGTAACTTGAGCTAAGAGATAAAGCAAGCACATGAGGATAATTGAAATGGATCGTGTTACCACTTTATTTTTCTCTGTGTGGAAAATTGATACAATCTAAACACAAAAAAGAATTCCTGCAGTTTGTGGTGGCTCAAGATCTGATACATATAAAACAGTAATTTCCTATTTGGGAGTATTGGTGAAAGAAGAAGCCATTATCTGAGCAAGAATCAGTAGTTTCTGTCTATACCTTGTTTGGGCCAAACATCCGAAAGAAGTAGCTATCTCTCTTCTGGTTGTTGGTTTTTACATGCAACGAATCCAAGTGCATACATACACATGCATAAATGGGCCTGGTTGAGTTAATTCAAGGTCAAGATGTTTCATTATCCAAATCTTCCATCACATCAATGTCCTTTCGAGATGTTATCTTCTGCACATACCCTGCAATCAATTTAAACTACTTAATTCCAGGCTAATTTGCATAATACACTAGATTAAAACCGAATTGCATAGCTCAGACAGTGGGGCTTTGATTTTTTTTTACAAAGACGAATCAAGGAAGCAGCTCAAAGATACTCTTGAATCTTAAAACTTTCATTCGTTTCATCGTAGGAAGGTCACTGGAAGGAAAACTAAACCAGGAAAAAAAGAGCAACAATCAGAAACTTACCAATCCCTTGGCAGGGTATGCATTTGCATATAACCTCTTTACCCCTTTTCTTGTAATAGCTAACAGATCCAGATCCTTGGCAACTTCTACACTTTCCAGTCCATTCATAAACCACTTCCCGGCAATCCTGAGAAGCGGTCAGGTATATTATCATCAGATAAACAAACCCAACGCATTCCAAAGCAAAAACTGCATCATTCGAACTATCTTCTAGGCACAATCTAAATCTACCACTGCTATTGCCTCGAAACATATTACTTTCCCAAATATGATAGTTTCTCTAGCACCATTTTTCCCCTTCTTCATCTAAACCTTATCCCATATCGACAAGAGCTTACACGTATACTTTACATATTGTTGACAAAAATGCTTCTATCATAGAAACCCAAGGAAAACCAAACCCCTTGTTTTAGTTTCACATTTCGGAATCATCATTCATCTTCAAGAATCTGAGCTTATCGCTCCATGAGAAAGAATAATCAAACCCAATCGTCAAATTTACAGCAGTGATTGGTTCGAAGGTAAATTCACGGTCTAGATAAAAGTCAGCTAAAGCAATTCAAATGTTTCCACTGATTCAATACAAGTATGTTCAGGCCTTTTATCAGTAAATGAAAGTGGAGTAAGCGGAAAACCTCGACTATAGGATCACATTGCAATCTCCGGTCAATCTCATCAGGCGACACAGGGGATGTATCGGGATAAGTCATAGGGAGAGGAAGCGCGTCGCCGTCGTCTACCAAGTAACTCTCCCCACTTTTCGACCAGAGCAATCTCCTCTTCCTCCACTTACCCGCTTCACCATTCCCGCCGGCGGAGACGGAGACATCTCGAGACCGCGCCGAGTCAGAGGCGGAATCCGCTTCCCGGGTTATCCGGATTCCGTCGCCGAGGGGGATATCAGCGGTGGCGCGGCAACGGAGGGAGCGAGAAGGAAGGCGAGGGAGGAAAACGAGAGGCCTGAGAGAGGGTAGAGAGCTATTAGGGTATAATCGGAACATCGAGACGAGAAGTTTGCAGGTGCGGCCATGAAATTGGGTGAAGTAATCAACGTCGACGAATTAAAAAATTCGGATTTTTTTTTATAAGATATTTTTATCGTAAATACTATAAAATTACAACGTTAATTGTGAGGAAATTATTGCGTACCATATTCTAAGATATTTTAGTCATATGATCTAAATTATTTGGGTTTAATTCATTTGGTTTCTTTTTTGCCGCCAAAAGGATTTTAGGAATCGTCAAAAGCGGAGCTCTGGGATCGTAGCAGTGTCGGCTACAGTCGAAATGGAGGACGAAGATGAAGACGTCATTTCGTCTTCCGATTCTGAAGATTCTAGTGATAGCTACAAGGAAGAGTCTCAAGATTCGGAAGGAGAAAACGAAAGTCCCGAGGAAAACCCTGAGTGCGAAGACCTTGCGGCCGTTTCTCCTCCATCCGACGCCGATCGGAAATCGAAGAACGTAAATGATCTTTTGAGGTGCGTAATTGAAATTCCTCGATTTCAGTTTGAGCTTAGAACCTGATTGAGGCTTTAATCGCTTGCGTCTGTATACATTATTTGGCGTTTTTGAGATTGATTTTTGGGGTTTTTAGAGGAAATTTCGCGGCTCGGGTTCCATTAACTCCAGTTAATTAAGTTTTCCTATTTCGATTTCTATAACATTTGATTGTTGGTCTCACTTCTTTGTATAGTATTTTTTTGAAGTGATCTTTCTTACTATGTTGCAAGTAGTATTTGTTCGACAAAACTTTGCTTCTGGTCTTCTTTGATTTTTCATATGAGTGGTGCTACTAGCGTTATGATTCCATCTTCAAACTGATAATTGTGATTAGTCTCTGAAGCTGTATCATATGTATATTTGATAGCTCTGTTAGATAAAGAATCCTTAAGGGTGATACTTTTAAGGAAATGGAATTGAATCTTCTGCTGTGTCTGACAGGGGCAATCTGGTCGTGCAAAGGCAGCCACTCCTTCCTCGGGTGCTTTCAGTGTCAGAAGGAGCGGCAGTTTGTAGGAAGCCCTTCAAGCCTCCGTGCTCTCATGGTTATAATACCACTGACCAACTTTCTCGTCGCCTTTCGGCTCGCAAACGGTTTGTCCCTTGGGGTTCTTCAACTCCAGTTGTGGTTGTTCTACCTACTAAGCTGAATGCATCAACCACTGTTGAGAGAGATGAAGAAGAGGAAGTTGTTTGTCTTCCACCTGAAATTGATCCCTTGGTATTGTGGGAACTTGAAGAATCGGAAGAGGGAATGAGCAATGCAACAAAAATTGCGGTGCATCCATTGCTTGTCCGATTTCTTCGGCCTCATCAAAGGTATTTCATTTCTATCTACGAAGTGACGTCAAGAATAGTGTTATTTTTTAAACTTCTCAAAACTTGCTTACAGTCTGTGCTGGGTATAAAAATTTCAAAGCCTTCAAAATTTTGCTAGTTGAAGCACTTCAGAATATGCTCTGGGTATTTTACCCTCAGTGAACGGCTGGTTAATACAACAAACCAATGAGTGTAAAATTATCTATAATTAGCATCAAGGATGATATATACAACTTTACTCACATGGTGAGATGGTTTTTTTGAGACTGCAGAGAGGGTGTCCAGTTCATGTTCGATTGTGTTTCAGGGTTACATGCTTCGGCAAATATAAATGGTTGCATTCTGGCTGACGATATGGGGTAAATTTATCATCTCTCTTACGTAATATTGGATCTGGACTCTGTATAATTTGCAATTTAGTTTTTCTTATTACCTTCTAAATTGATTTGACAGTTTGGGGAAGACATTGCAGTCCATTACGTTACTATACACACTTCTATGTCAAGGATTTGATGGGACGCCTATGGTTAAAAAGGCTATTATTGTTACACCAACGAGTCTTGTTAGTAACTGGGAAGCTGAAATTAAGAAATGGGTTGGAGACAGGATTCAGCTTATTGCCCTCTGTGAAAGCACCAGAGATGATGTTTTGTCTGGAATAGATAGTTTCACTCGACCACGAAGCGCGTTGCAGGTATAGTTGTGCATATTTTTAACTGTCTCTGAAAAGGCACTTATCACTTAATTAATGTTAACAGGTCCTTATCATTTCTTACGAGACATTCCGAATGCACTCATCCAAGTTCTGCCAGAGTGAATCCTGTGATCTTCTAATATGCGATGAGGCTCATAGGTTGAAAAATGACCAGACATTAACTAACAGGGTAGCTTGCAAATACATACTTGTTTCGTATCCTTCCAGGTTGATACTTTTTATTTCCTATTTTTTTCTTCTAATTTTGGTTATCATATTCGGATACAGGCTTTGGCTTCATTGACATGCAAACGGCGAGTCTTGTTGTCTGGAACTCCCATGCAGGTAATGGACGATCCCACTAATTTTATCTATTAAACTTCCCCTAACATTTAACACTCGAGTTTTTACTCCTATTTTTTTTTCTTCTGCATCCGAATGTTCCAGAATGACTTGGAAGAGTTTTTTGCCATGGTCAACTTTACAAATCCAGGAAGCTTAGGCGATGCTGCGCATTTTCGCCATTATTACGAGGTGACATACTTTGTATTTTGATCCTTTCTTTGACGCTGATTCGATCATTCCCTATTATGTTATCTCTAACTATGTTAAGATCAATATATCTAGGCGATTGTTGGCCTACCTTGTAGGATTAGCCTAAGTTACTTTGTATCGTATACTTTGCTACTACATTTACTCTGTTTCGTTTTCAGTATAGCAGTTTCGTGGCCTTGGATTCCATTAAGTTGAAAGCTTCTTTTAAAAATAGTTTTGAGATGAGAGAATAAGTTCACGCTGTTAATTTATCTGTGGCATTCAATTCCATTTCAATTGACTATAGGTTGTTTATGTTTCATACACTACCTTCTATTGATGCATCCTTGTTTTGGTATATGAAACCCAAGGCACCTATTATATGTGGAAGAGAACCTACAGCCACTGATGAGGAGAAAAACTTAGCTGCTGACCGCTCTGCAGAACTGAGTTCAAAAGTCAATCAGGTAATTCTTCTTTGCATTGTGTATGTAAATATTTGACTATCATTGAGATTTCATCATTATCTAGATATATCTCTTCAAAATAATGCAATTTGCTTAGATGATTTTGGTACTATAGTCAATGGAGCATCACTACTGCCCATTCATAATTGTAGCCTATATTTTATTGCTATACCTTATGAAGACTTCTTTTTGTTTACAGTTTATTTTGAGGAGAACCAATGCATTGCTCTCTAATCACTTACCACCTAAGGTGCTTTTCTCTCTGCATTTGCAACAGGCGTCTAAATATAGTTTCTTACGATGCTGAAAAAATTCTCTGTCAAGAGAATAGCCTTTGTTACTTCTTCATATGTTAAATCGTCAGATTGAATAATAAATGTAGGTTTAGCAGTGAAATAATTATATGCTGAAAGAATGGAGAGAATGAACACCTTTGTGAAAGTGTCGTCTCTTTTCTTAGCTACTAGTTCTTCCGTTTGCTGCTTTTTATTTTAAAGCCAGAAATACATCAAAATCTTGATGCTGGATGTTTCGCAGATAATTGAAGTAGTTTGTTGCAAGATGACTACTCTCCAGTCCACTCTGTACAATCATTTTATAAGCTCAAAAAATGTAAGCATTGATCACAGTCATTCTTATTTCGCTGTGTAAATTCACAAGTTGGAACTGTATACAATGGGTGCATCTGTGTGCAGCTTAAAAGAGCACTTGCTGATAATGCAAAGCAGACCAAAGTGTTGGCTTATATAACAGCTCTCAAGAAGCTCTGCAATCATCCTAAGGTATCTATTTGCGCTCAAGTTTCTTCAGTATTTTTTGAGTCATCTTTGTAACATCTTAACGTGCTATCATCAAGTTCTCATATTAGGAGTCTAGGTTTACAAAATTTTGGTGTTCCAAGATCTATGTGAATGACAACCAATTTCATCTTTCCCCGTTTATACTTTATGATAGAGCTATTCTTTTTCATGTAGCTAATCTACGATACAATAAAAAGCGGCAGTCCTGGAACTATCGGGTTTGAGAATTGCTTACAGTTTTTCCCTGCAGAAATGTTCTCTGGGAGGTAGGCTTCTTTCTCTAGTTTGAGTCATTTCATGTCTGCATGTGTGTGTCATGACTTAGGACCTAAATAGAACTATCCTTTCAGATCTGGAGCATGGACTGGGGGTGACGGTGCCTGGGTTGAGCTCTCTGGAAAAATGCATGTTCTCTCCAGACTTTTGGCCAACCTACGACGTAAAACTGATGACCGCATAGTCCTTGTATCAAACTACACACAGGTATGGTAATTTTATTTTATTTGTAGGGCACAGTGCATGTAATTTTGAACAAATTCAGCTGCTGGTTGCCACTAGTGATGTTACTACTGGCCTAATTGTCAATTAGGGATGTTGCAATCTCTTTTGAATTACTCGTCCCATGAGCTATGTGTTAGTTATCCCGAGCCTTATGAGCTATCATATTTTTGCAACTTTTGCATGTGGTATCCTAGAAGTCAAGGAACATGTTACGCTAATCTCTCTTTTTGTATCCAAAAAGCAACTCTTTCTTACAAACATCACGAGAACTGAATTATGTATGCTTTTTGATTGCATAAAACGGCCACCATGGTGCGTTGCATATTGATAGCAATTTCAAATCCACTCTGCATACAATAATCATAGCCTGCACCTTTTTCACTAGACATTGGATCTTTTCGCTCAACTCTGTCGTGAAAGAAGATATCCATATCTGAGGCTGGATGGATCAACAACAATCAGCAAGAGGCAGAAGCTTGTTAACCGGTTGAACGACCAAACAAAGGTACATAATCTTTTTTTCTTTCTCCCGTTTGTTACAAGCCTGATTAACCACCTGGTTTGACTTTTGCTTCTGTAGGATGAGTTTGCATTCCTCTTAAGCAGCAAGGCGGGTGGCTGTGGATTAAATTTAATTGGTGCTAATCGACTTGTTTTGTTCGATCCCGATTGGAATCCTGCCAATGATAAACAAGTAACTATCATCTTAACTTCAGTTAAAACTGTTTCAGAACTATGTTGATAAGAGATGATTGATTGTGCTGTACATGCATTACTTCGCTATCAAAACAGGCTGCTGCTAGAGTATGGAGGGATGGGCAAAAGAAAAGAGTATATGTCTACAGGTTTCTTAGTACTGGAACTATTGAAGAAAAGGTACTGCATTTACATCCACAGAATTGACCTCACTTTTTCCTCGCGGGAGTAATTGCTTAATTTAGAATCATACTGGTCTTTCACGTGGTTTATTGGTAGGTTTACCAGCGTCAGATGTCAAAAGAAGGGCTTCAAAAAGTTATTCAGCATGAACAGACGGATAACAGCACGAGACAGGTCTTTTTGGAAGGGAATGCTATATGTTTCATCATAAAGACATTTTGTGACTATGAATATCAACCACAAAATCTTTGATTTTCCAGGGGAACTTGCTTTCTACAGAGGATCTACGAGATTTGTTTTCGTTCCACGGGGACGTTAGGTACGTGTTTCTTTTGAATTCAGGAAATGGTTTTGTCCACTCAGACATGGTTTCCATGTCCACTTTCTCGGGATAGATTTTGCACCTCCAAGATTATACACACATTCTCTCTGCCTTTTTTCCTGGTAATGTGACTAGGTCTGAAATACATGAGAAGATGAGCTGCATTAGGTGCCAAAATGATGCCTCTGGTACTGAAAACATCGAAGAAGGAGATGAGAACAATGTAGATGACAATGCTTGCCAGATTGACGAAGAAGATATAGGCGGATTTGCAAAAGATGCAGCATGCTTTCACTTGTTAAAAAACTCCGAGAGACAGGTCCCTTTATGTGCTTGGTTACTGAATCATGCTATGCTTTAATCTAAGTCTGTTTAGACCTTAGAAAATAAAATATTGAAAAACTACCACCAAAACTTTATATATAACTTAGCAAAACATGATTTCTATTTCGTCACCAATTCCATTGTCAGCTGCAAACTCTGCTCATTCCTTTGCCATATGATTTCATCTAAAAAAAACATTTTTTATGAATTATTCTCAGGTGGGCAATCCATTGGAGGAAGATCTAGCAAGCTGGGGTCATCATTTTACCTCAAAGTCCGTTCCAGATACTATAATGCAAGCTTCAGCTGGTGACGAGGTGAGTTGTATCCAGGTTTTCTCAGTCCAAATAATCATAAATCTGACAAATATTCCACAATGTCAGAATTTTTTTCCAAGCCAAGTAGGCAAGTACTACGCTACAATAATTTTACAGGCTCTCCTCTCATAACTATTTTCACGGTCTTAAAAAACATTGCAGGTTACATTTGTATTCACAAACCAGGTAGATGGGAAGCTCATTCCCATCCAATCAAATGTTAGTCCAAAACCGGAAGATACCAAAACAGACAGCAACCGAAACCAAACTGTAAGTAAACGTGCGTTCAACAAACCGCAACAAAGACCTCGGGAACCTCTGCAACCGTTATCTCTCAACGAGACCACAAAAAGAGTGAAGTTGTCTACTTATAAGCGTTTACACTGTACTAGTAACACTGATGATGCTCAGATTCAAATGTCTTTCCAAAGACCAAATCAAGTGTCTGTAAATCACGATGATGATTTTGTATGAGATTTCTAGTTTTTTTTTTCTTAACTTCGCGACATTTTTATGCTATGTTGTGGGGTTTTTTGTTTTTCCTTTATTATCCTTGTGAGATTGGGTTTGGACGAGTTTTGATCTTAACACTTAAGTACAAGATACAAGTCTAACAAAAAAAAATCATAGCCTATTCTGGCCCATAAGGTATTTCTCCAAATTTTTTCATGCGGTCTTAAACTGCCAATTAGTATCCATCATCATATGATTGGAACAAACCAAGCCCAAACTTTGAAAAGCCATGACCTACATATTTTGAATTGATCCTTAAAAGGCCTGTCTTCGGCAAAGTCTGATCGAACCGGAACGGTTAACTTCATCAGAAATGTTGGTCTCTCTTCGGTAAAAAAAACATCTCTCTTTCGAAATACAAGTGGATTATTTCTTTGCAATGTCGTACTCAGTCTTCATTCAGAAGTCAGTCTGGGGACTTCGGATATTAAAACAAAAAGATGTCGATAAAAAATAAACGTACCAATTGTTGGACTAGTTTTTTTTGTTTGTTCAAGAATTGGACTTGTTTGTTTGTGAGGTACTTAAGTGTTAAGAAATGAGATTAGTGAGGTAAAAAGCTATTTTTATGTAAATTGGAAAAAGCTATTTTTATTCATCAAAGTAAATAGCCAAAAATGCAGAGATTTATTTAAGAGGAAGAAGACAGAAGATGTAGAGAAATTTGGAGACAAGAAGACAGCCAAAATAAACTTTAGATACAGCTTACTTATCCACCACAAAAGTCCTATGATATTATCTCTATGTCTAGATTCCCTCCCTTATCATGCTTTACAACATGTTAATATTAAAACTCAGACTTTTAATCTCAGCTCCTTGGACTTTAGTCAAAACCAGCTTATGCACTGAAATTTGGTAAATGAGACTTTAAGAAATGCAAAATATTATAATGTAACTAGCTAGGTTTGATTGGTGATCAATAATCTCCATTAGCCAATAAGATGGGAGTTAAACGCATTTCACTCGAGAAACTCGATCCAGGAAACCATGCAGGATCTAAATCTGAATTAAAATACGAAAATTGGACTCAAGGAACTCGGTTTTTTGCACTCTCAGTAAATCAGTTGTTTGCACACAAAAATGTTTATGTAAATCGAACGAACTTAGTTTAGCTTGAAGAGCCACGCGTCAAAACCCTAGTTGAAGAAACGTGGGAAAATTCCATTAGGACTGGAAGTGAAGCACGTGAGCATCTGAGCATCACAACAAGACAAATGTTACCAAAGTTTTAGTCAAACCCTAAAGTCTGAATCCAAAAAGATAGTAGATTTTACCATTTAATTTATTTTATGGTTTTCTGTTTTGGGGCTTTTTATCAGTCGAACATTTTACAGCTCAGCCTCACATGGCTCTTTAGGTGCTACAGTATTTTGTCTGCTTGATTGATTCATTTATTTGTCTATAAGAAATTCTAATTGAGTAATTAAGAGAGAAATAATCAATATTTTCGTGAGACTTCTGAGTAATGAGTATCACTTGAATAAGCAAATGCAAAACATTTATTGAATTGATCTTTATTAAAATTAACAAGTTAGTGGCTTGAATAAGAAAAACGATGCGGATAAGGTGGACTTTTGTCGGTTAATAAAGTGCCACACCTAATTAAATCGAACAAAGCGTAAGAGACGACAGAAAATTCATGCAAATTAAATAACTGAACTGATATTTATGCAATGCATCTCTGGATCTATCATGTATATCTATTCCCGTATATTTATATATTATTTATGTATTAGTTCATCCGTATAAGTCCATCTATTTATATCAATGCAACCTAGTTTTAAACTCTAAACTTTAGTTTCTTAGAGTTCTTATCCATAAGATGTAGTGTATTAGATTTTTTATTTCATGATCTAAACGGTTGTTTAATTCGTAGTATTAGATTGCGTTTTAGTGCTTTGTTTATGTTAGTGTTGTAGCTCTATTTGGATTTTTGATAAGTATTGGTTAAAAAAGGGATAAGTATAGTCAAACTGAACAATATATATCACAAAGAAGTACAAAGTATAGTTTTTTTTTTTTGTAACATAATATAAATAAGTAGTTAAACAGTAATTTCTTATACTATATGGGTATACTAAATATTTGGAATTAATAAAGAAATCGTAGATACTCCTATTAGATTCAAGTTTGTAATGAGTTAGTGTGTTGAAGGCTGAAACGTCCATTATTGAAAGTTATATAGACGACAATATAGTTTCTTGTTTCAGTTTATTATACATGAATGTAAGTTCATGTTTCGATGAAAAATACATAATTGAATTTTGATATGGTATATTTTGTATTGGCAAGAAAAAATATATTTAAGAGTTAACATAATCCAATTTGGAGAAGTTTTATTATCTTTATCTTATTTACCCCCTATAGAAATGATATGTATATCAGATTTACGGCGTATTAATGAATCGATTAATATCTCTGTCCGTAAACTAAGTGCACTGATTGTCGTAGCGCATTGAGTATTTGTTATCCATAATGAGGAGTCAAAACCATGAAATTAAGTAACCTTCAGTTCACTGAATCGGCATCACCCAGTGTCAATCTATTCTATACAAATAAATTATAATGTGAATTTGCATTTTAAAAAATTAAGAAATAACAAGGTTAACAAAAATAAAGAGGAAATCCACATGGATACCCACCAATCTCTCATATCTATAAAATGCAAAACATGTGGATGCATGATATGAAGATCCCAAAGACTACCACAAAACAAGAAACACAAACTTAGAGAGAGATAGAGAGAGAAAGAGAGAGGGAGAGAGAGATGGCTAAGAATGTAGAACAAGCTTCATTGTATCCATCCTTTGTAGACGCAAGAATCTCATTCTCCAATGATTTTGCAGACAGTGATCATAGTAGTAACCAACTTCAACAGACGGTTTCAAGAGTAGTACAAGATCAGATGAAGTACAAAGAAGCTCCTGTTTCGTCTGATTTCAAATTCAACGTCGAAAACTACGGTTTCATTTCTGCGGCTGATGAGATCTTCTTTGGTGGAGTTTTGTTGCCGATGGAGAAGACTCAGAGGAAAGTGACGACACTTAGAGAGGAACTCAGTGTTCAAGATTCTGACCGTACGATCTCAAAGGGATCTCGTAATTGGTGGAAACTAGGTCTCAACAAGTCCAAGAAAATTCATTCTAACAACATCGACTTCCATCTTCCCCAAAAATCTCAGGTAAAATAATTAGTTATTAATATAATCCATATTGTGTTCTAAGTTTTAACATTCAAATAAGAAAATGTTCCATACAAACGTTCTTTTATGTAATCTTCTATGTAATGTTGATTGTGCAGAATTGTCTTGCAAGTATATTGGAATCTGATGACTGAAAGATGACTCCGGAAGCAGTCAGCTAATTATGGAAAACTAGACATCTAATGATAATAACAAAAAAAAGAAAATCGATTGTTCGTATATTTCCTGTTTTGTATTTTGAGTTCTCGAATTCTCTCTTATTTGCATGTATTTTTTTTTTTCTTCATGACCTATGATCGTATCTTCATTGTACATAAACCACTAGTATGCAATTGGTGAAGTATTTTATTCTTTCTTGTTAAACTTAACCGATTCACCGGGCTATGAAGCGCTATATCCACAATTAATAATCAGCTAGTCCTTAGAAATTAGAAAGAGATTACTGTGCAACTTTTTTTTCTTGATATAGAGTAGATACAAGACAAAAGGTCCAACGAAATACTGACAAAATAAATCTAACAAGATCCTTGTTATGTAAATAAAAAATCGAATTCACAAACATGAACCATATTTGACCACGTTTCCAAATTCCAACACAATCATATAGACGTCTAGTTCAGTCAAGTCACACTCGTCAACACTCGATTTTTAAATTTTGAAAATAGAGATATACGAAAAAGGAATCTGGCAGTTCTAAAATTCTTTTCAACTATAAACAGAGAAAAACTGTACACTTTCACTCATTTGGCAAACTTTGAGGGGGTACATTTACAATGGAGAAATATCGAAATTGTTTTATGTACAGACAAACTGAATGATTCTATAATGCTTTGTTCTATACCAAAATTATGCCATCGCTCCGGCTTTTCGAAGGGCAAAAGAATGGTTCTTCACTTTACTCTATTCAAACCTATATTACCTGCAAGAAATTTCAACAAGTTGAAACCAAAAATCCATATAAAGAGCAAACTTTAGAATTTAACAAGTTTAGTAGACTTACACGCTAAATGTAAAAGGGGCCTGACACCATTGGACAATCTGTACCAAACGAATTAGAAATAGGAGTAAATGGTTAAAGTCAAGCTTGGTTTCTCCAACTGCTGGATGAATTACCACAATTGCAGTAACCAATTTACGAAAATGTGACAGACCAAAAATTATACCTGGGTTGTTTATCTGTGTTGATCTTGATTCCTTTGTTTATCGGGGCCTAAGTACTTTTCCATAGATTCCTTTTTATGTTCAGGATCAAGACTGGAAGGTGAAAAAAAAAATCCCCATGAGTCTTTAGTAGTTTGCAAAATAAAAGTTTTTTTCAAGCCCTGTTTCCAAAAATTTGAATGTGAGAACCAACCTGTTTCTGATGCCAACGAGAGCACTATGTACAGCCCTTGCGCAAGCAGAAGCAGGTGCTATAGCAGCTGTTGGGACTCCTTGAACAGCTGTTGCAAATGCTGATCCAGCTCCGTCTCCACGTTGATACTTCTTCAAAGGCGTACGGACTAATGCAGAAGCTGTCTTTCCTATTCCATCGCCTATGCTCTCACATGCCTATAAAAAAATCCCGGAAAGAAAAATATATATGATCCAGAAGCCGAAGAGAGATCATTTGAGCAGAAATTCAGGACATGTATTGCCTTCACACTCACTCACCTGCCGCATGCCTTGCTTAGCGTTTCTAGGCTGATTATGTCTAACATTCGTCTTTGTTTTGCCTTGGGGCTGTGGCAATGATGGTGCACTTGCAAGTATATATTCTGCTCTCAACAAAATATCATGAGCACCGGCTGCCAAGTGAACACCAAGTCCAACAGCTTCCAGTGAGATGCTTCTGAGAAACGCAATAGTACCTGAAAATCCACAGTTGCAGCTTGTCATGCGAACTATAGTAAATCACAAACTATAATAAATTCTTGGATGAAACAAGCACATACGGCTGAACATAAGAATGTATACTATCAGAAACATAATCATGACCTGCAACTGTTGATATGGAATAATTTGGCCACAGCAGCGGATGCTATGCTGCTTTAAGGAGGCAATTCCAATATCAGCTATGTCAAAAGTCGTAGTTATAAGGGTTCCCTATTCATGGCTAGAGGGCTAAAAGCAAATATCTTCAAACCCTTGTTCTAGAGGAATGAGACTCTAGGAAATATATTAAACACCAGAAACCTTTATGTGAACAGCTCCACTTTTGCAAGTGGCTTCTAACAGTTATAACATTATATATGATAACGAATGAGTGCACCATAAGTAGCTTAGTTTCAGATAATAGAATAGAATAAGAGGAAAACAAGGAAAAATCATAGTGAAAAATGAGCATTGAACACTTTGAGATCACGCCTCACCTCTTTGAACTCCCTTTACTAGCCTTCGGTCTTTCCTGTAACTTTCAACAGGTGAGGAGACCAGCTTCGCAGCAGCAGCATAAAGAGCAGAAAGTGATCTAACTGTTGGGATCCCCTTCAACAGTTGATGAATCTAAATATTACAATTACAGAACATGAAAAAGCTCGTCAGTCTTTCGTTTTTTTTTCTTTTGCACGAAAAGCTTGTCAGTCTAAACCCCAAAAATGGATGATTATTAATGCTATGTGAAACGAACCTGATTCTGAGATATATCTTCCAACCATTCTCCAAGGATAGTCTCGCATACATTGCCCCAGCCGTAGATTCCAGCAGCATGCACATGTTTGAGCTGTAGTTCAATACCCTGCATACGTTCCTCTGTGATGAGTAATGCTGAAACGACCTTTAAGACGCAAGCTGGAAAATTTTGTTTCTTACCTTCCAGGGAACTAGGTTCACTAGCTCTGCATATTTTCCTCCCGTTAGTGCTGCTAGATCAACATGATGTGGGCTGTAATCAACTCGAACAATAACAGGCCATATGTCGAATTTCTGCAAATAAATTTCATTAGTCAGATAATTTTAGTAAAAACAACCTTCATAGAAACATACTTCCTCAGAACTCTGAATTACAATAACACTGAGGTTTATAACTTCATCTGGGCGACATCATATATATCTTTTGGAGACGTTAACATGATTAGTATTACATTAATTTGAGCATGAAAACACACACTATCAGTATATATCCTAGGAAGGTAACCCGTGAATAATTCTCCTCCAGCATCATACTACCGTATAGGAAGAAAGAATCTTTATTAACCTGAAAATATGGAAGAAGCGCTTCTTCTATGATATTATGCCCCTTAACAGAAACCGACAACGTTGATCCACCTGACTCTCCAACGGAAACTACAGGCTTTTCTAGGTTGTTAGCTCCAAAGAAGCAGATGAGAAAATCCAGTTGACTTTGATGAAGATGCAACAGTATAGGGAGTAAAGCAATACGTAACCTGGGAGAAACAATTATAAGAAAAAGGAAAGAAAGGTTTCACATATGCGGTAACTATTATTTAAGCCGTAAACAGAAGGTCCATCTAAGTAACACCAAAATATATCAAAGGAAAAAAGCTTAATGTAATTCAAGTTTACTAAGACTAAATCCGTAATGTAATTTACCCTTACATGTTGCCAAAAAGAGGGAATCTCGTGGAAACTAGTTTGTATGAATATTACTACCTCCAAGGACAAATGACCTTAATTATTCAGTATTTATGCATATGTCTTTTCTTTGATAGGCATTAAATTTAACAATGCAGTTATTCAATAAGGATAATGAACATATCTCGGAAAATGTTTGATAGAGGTTTTGGCCATGTACAGAATCAAACATTTGCTGAAAATCCAGTTGTGCATACAACTAGGCCAATGTTTATTGAAATTATAGATGTGATTCTCATTGTTAGATATAAAAAGAAAAGTGAGTATAACACTGTAGAATATTAGAGATAGCATACCGGTTTTCCTCAAGTGGCGTCTCAGGGTCAGGTCTGACAGTTTTCAATTCCAACTTGAATGCATTTGAAGAGGAATCTCTTGGGTGATCTTTTGAGTTGTAATATCCAAGGACCTATAATTCATGGGAACAAGGTCAATAACATACCCAGGTTATTTTTAGTATAATCAAATATTATGACGATAAAAGTGAAAATCTCAATTACCAATGTCCACGGTGCAGCTTTGCTTCTATCATAAAGATAAAAATCTTGGACCATGAGAGAGAGTTTAGAAGTACATATTCCGCCAATTGGAAAGATTTCATACAGGAATTGCACCCCAGATAATTCCAGCTCAAGGCAAGAAGTTGTATCTCGGCCCATCATATTTTTATAAATTTCACCTTTCTTTCTAGAATCATGCCAATCGGAGCCAGAGTAAATTCTCCACTTGAGGTCTATATTTTTCAGAAGTATACGTCCATTAGCTGTTACAGCAGAATAAGATTTCAGACCAAAAGATGAAAATTCTCCATCCATCATACGTTCCTCATGATCTTCCTCAGTTGCTTCTGAGACATGGTCTTCTAAAATTCTTAAGGACGTATCATCATACCACCCAGAATTCCCCTTCCTCAAATCAGTCTCAAGAAACAATTGTCTCCCTGATGAATCCCCTTCTTGAGGTACCTCTGACAATGGACGGAACTCAGACAAACAATAGTCTTCAATTAGTTCAGGCAGGCCATCTCTTTCTAGGAATATTTGAATGCTTTCTGGTTGTAATCTAGACGATGACCCACACACAAACTGATTAGACGGTCGTTCCTCAGGAAAAGCAGGTAACTGATTACGTGCCTGCCGATGAGATGACATATAGTTATTCTGACATTCCAAAGAATCAGACTGACTACTACGATTGATATCAAATTGGAAAGCATCTTCATTTATTTCGCCCATCAAACCAGTGACCCCATTTTCAGTTTCAGTTTCTGAATCTAATCTTAAATTTTTCATTTCTCCACTAGAATCGGAGCTACTGAGTCTATCGCTGATATCAAAATCATTCCTAGCATTCGCCTGCTGAATGTTATCCCATCGAGTCTGCAAGTGCACAGCTGATTCCTCCAAATCAGGAGCAAGTAACTGTTGGAGCTGCGTGGCCAAGCGAATCAAACCAGAAGTCGTGTCACTGCAAGTTTCTATTAACAAGTGAGATTTTGAACACTCCAACTCCCAGAGAAGGCCACTTTCAGAATTAGTCCTTAGAGTTGCTTCAATGAGCGCTTCATTAGCAACTTTAACATAACCATTCTCATGAAGATGC